ACAGGGTGTCAAAGATGAAAAGTGAAGCTTTCTGCTCAGAATTTTTAACAACTCCGAGAATTGACAAAACCCCCATTTATTCATGGAATAACATGGCGGAATGATGGTACAATGTCATCTGGATCTCGTATCCATTATCATTTTCTGTTTTGGGCTCTACAACAGGGCGAACAAAGAAAAAACCAATTCGATTAATTTTAAACCAACCAGGGTAAGTTCTTTCATGAGAATTGGAGATTCAATTGAGCCTGGACGAACTTCCTCAATCTCGATCGAAGTTTACTGGATTTTATTTTTATATACAGGGTGTGGTTCGAAAATAGGGGTACGTCAATCCCTAGTTTTTTGTATCGGAAAGGAGAGAGCATGTCATATATATATATATCAAACATCCTTCAATGTTGAGAACGTCACATACTCATTTCATATATATGGGGCGAGTAAAAAGATACAGTCCAAGTTTCGTGAAAAAATGCGGTTTTTTTCAATGAATACCCCGTATTTCGAAAAAGAATCGGTTAATTTTCTTGAATTTTTGATATAACGTACGATTTGAGGAGTCCGAGATATTGTCATCAATATAAGCATAGGTCCCGGACTCGATTGTCGGCAATATACTTTTGAATGTACGGATTTCATTGATACCCGATATACAGGGTGATTCACATAACAACCGACATAGGGCAGGAGCATGTAGGGGGTCCCAAAATATGGCAATTAAACGCAACTTACCTCTATACCAAGCTGCTTCCCTAAGGAGTTATAGACATAGCACTAACAGCATGTCAACTTGCTCGTTAAAAGAAAACTTCCCGTTCATTTTAAAAACACTCAAACAACAATTACTTAATTGAACAACTCACTTGCCTCATTGTCAAGTTTGACGTTTATTTTCATAGCCAACTTTTGAATTTTCGATGATTTTAAATAACAAACCTAGAGCGCGCGTTTTCAGTTATTCGAGTTTTTGATGAAAATGATGAGGTTTTTCGAAAAATTACTAGAGTAAGAAAAGTTTTAGAATTGAATTGCCCACAAAACAAAGCAGAGATTTTTGAAATCCATCATGGGTCAACAAAATTATGTTGAATATTAATGGTGCGCCACCCGGTATACCCCCTTTACAAATTTCAATTAAACTCTAGTTACTGTCAAGTAACGCCCTAAATACATCCACAAAGTGTACCAAATTTGGTTGCTTCAAGTACAAGAATAACGAAAATATTGATTTTTTTCAAAATGTATAACTTCACTTTCAAAGCCTATATCTCCTTAGGAAAGCAACTTGGTATAGAAGTAAGTTGCGTTAAATTGCCATATTTTGGGACCCCCTACATGCCCCTGCTCAATGTCGGTTCTTATGTGAATATTTTCCAACAATTCATATTGAAAATTATTCGGCCTAGATTTGGGCGGTACCTATTCCAAAAATGCAATACCTTATATACAGGGTGAATGAAATGTTTTTCAGCCCTGTTTCAGAAGGAACTAGAGAAAATTGAAATGTATCGGAAGCAATAACCCTCTCAAGGTTGGAACTAATTCTACAGTATTTGAAAGATATTTCAATTCAGATGGAGACATATTTTATATGATTTTTGTGAGATGTGCGGTTTCTACAAAATTGGAATATTTAGTACTCAACGAACAAATGAATGGTGAAGGTATCATACCTCCCAAAATTATAAAAGTCCGCGAAAAGAAATATGTACGTTTTGTGGTAATTTCTTATTTGAATCAAGTTTGAAATGTCGTTAAAAATTCTGAGCAGAAAGCTTCACTTTTCATCTTTGACACCCTGTATCTCGAAAACTAGTCAGCCGATTTCTATGTGCCTATGGACACTTTTGCTTATGAAGTCAAAATCTACATCATACCAAAAATTCAGGTGATTTAACCGAAAGCCATTTTCTATAAGGAAAGTGCGGGGTCCTTTCTGAGGGTGCTCCAGTAAAATTTCACGAGGATTCCGAATTCCAATTCCAATTTTAGAACAATTTTTTTGTATCATAGATAGATGGGATAACAAAGTTGGCCCTGCTCTGGCCGAATTCCTAAAAGTGCTCACTTCCTCGTTCAAAATCACCATCTAGATCCAAATGTATCGTGAATCCAACAGATGAAAAAGATGGCCCTGCTTTGGCCAATCAAGGTGAAGAATTGATTGGTTTGAAAATGTGATTTTTTGATGTATTTTGAATCTTGTTTTTTCAAATTGCTCCCCTCCCAAGGTAAGTAAGTCGATTTTCATACAGCCATCCTTTTTCTCTAAACAGACTATTCTTTCATGAGAGGAGATGGTGAAGAATTGGTTGATTTGCAAATTCGATTCTTCGAGGTATTTCGAATCGTTTTTTTTTTTCAAATTGCTTCCCTCCTAAGGCATGTAAGTCAATTTTAATACATCCATTCTTTATTTCTCATCTTGGCCTACTTTTTTATGGAAAAATCCTTGAAGTATTCAATATTCATTGAAAATCATTTCGTGTAAAAATTTTTGTTTGTCCGAATTTTTTCTTCTGATTTTAAACTCGCTCGTATGAAAGGCCAATTGTTTTCTGCTGAAAATTTTCTGTAACTGTTTCAAACTTGATAAAACCCAAACAATTCACAGACCATAATATTATGTTTGGATCGGTTAATCACCTACCTAATTGAAATGGACCAAGTGTGTATAAAATCTCTATCAAAATAATCAAGCAACTTCTCATCGCACTCAAACAAAGCAACGTCAGTAACATCATCCATTGAGTCATTAGGAAGAATGATTATGTATTATTAATCTTATCGGAGTGAAGTGAAACAGGTGAACAAATAGAACGTATAGTTTATTGAGGAAGTTTGGAAAAATTGAATGTGCCAATACAAATCACATGACTATACATTAAGACCAACGTTTTGATACCTACTATACAATGTGTCCAATCGGCCAATCATCGGAGAAACTTCAACTCATTTTCTTTACCCACTGCTTTATTCTCCAAACTAATAATTTTTTTGATATTCCTTGATGTTTTCTACCCTCAGTTCCAAAAAAAGTGACGCACTTGATATTTGACCTATCTTCTTAAAAAAAAATAGTAGGCCGATTTTTTTTTTGTTTGTTGGTAGGTAATGCATTTGTCTTAAAAAGAAAAAAAGAGGTGAGAATGTTTTCAAAGCCTCCTTGATGGTGGTGGAATAACTCGAACCATGATTTATTCTTAATTTTTGACTCACCCTGTGTGTTAATTGAGTTATGGCATAAAAAGTACTTGCACCCTATACGAAAGAGGCTTCTTTTGCGAGCATTTTGTTTTTCTATTCATTGATTTATCTCTAAAATTTTCCGAATTACAGCTTTTCTTGCTGAATCCTTGCAGATTACCAACTTTCAGAATTTATCGAGAAACAATTTTCTAATGAAATAAACTGATACCAATAATTTTTAAAAACATTTTTATTAAACAAAAGATTATAAATTGGGATGACTGCTTAATACCGTGTATTGCCTCCTCTAGCAACTCTAAGAACTTCTAATCTACGAGGCATACTGGAAATTAAGTTGCTTATCGTTTCCATTGGTATACGATCCCATTCTTCCACTAATGCATCTGCCATTTCTGCGAGACTTTCCGGAGACCTCTCGCGAGAACGTACCCTTCTCCCTAATTCATCCCACAAATGTTCTATAGGATTCATATCGGGGCTTCTCGCAGGCTATTGTAATGTGGTATGGACATTTTGTCTGAAAATGAGTTTCTCTCTAAAATAATCTGGAGTTGGATCCTTAAGCAACTTGTGAATGAAATGAAAGGAATAATATATTGAGGAATTGCTCATATCTAACCACTGAAGTTCCCTGAGTTTATGGGACACATGATCATATTTTCTCAAATTGAAAATGAGTCGACAACATGTATTTTGAATTTTCTGGATTCTGTAAATGGTTCTTTGTTCTAAACAGGGAAAATAAACGATGTTACAATGCTGGAAAATTGACAGTATGAGACACTCACATAATTTTTTTCTCAGATTTAAACTCACGAAGAGCATCGGGCAAAGAGCAATCTTAATCGAGCATATGAGCGCTGTATTAATGTCTTGACATGTTCGACAAATCTTAATTTTTCATTAATGATGAGTCCTAGATTATTCGATGATGTCGAGTATTCTAAAGATGTATCCCCTATGTGCAATTGTATACTTTTGTTTGAGCTGTCCTCTCACTCCTTCAGAACAAAATAAGATAGCTACACTTTTGGTGGAATTTAATGTTAAATTATGCTGGACAGAATATTGACTGATGGCTTGTAAATCGCAATTTATTTCCTCACGTGCGCTCCAAGCGATAAAAAAAAAAAAAAGAGGAGTCAAAATGATGCACAAGTTGTGTGTCGTCTGCATAAGTTTGAAGATTTGAAAATTTTATTTCATCATAAATGTCTACTGTATATATAAAAAATAAGAGGGCCAAGAATGGACCCTTGAGGAACACCGGAAATAATGTGAGCTGGACGAGACAAAACATCATTTATTTTAACCATCTGATATCGATCGAAGAGGTAGCATTTGAAAAAACGAACAGCAGAATCGGCAAAGCCATAATATTTCAGTTTACTACACGAAATATCATGATCAATACAATCGAAGGCTTTGGAATTATCAAGGGATATCAAAATTGAAGCAATCTTTTTATCGCGAGATCTGAATATGTCATCAGTTAGGTTCAAAAGTGAGGTAGTCGTACTATGACCTTTGCGAAATCCTGATTGATGGAGCGGTAATATATTATGTTCATCTACAAAAGATGTTACTTGATTACATACGATTCTTTCCAGAACTTTGGATAATACACATAACAAACTGATTGGTCTCAGATCCGTGACATTTTTTGGAGAATTATTTTTTGCTATCGGGTTAACAATTGCTAGCTTCCATTTATTTGGAAACTACCCTTTTTCTAGGCAGCAACTTATAATATGGGTGATGTGATTTAGGATTACAAATAAAATACAAACCACGCAAAAATAATTCTTATTTTATATTAAAAAAATCACCTAACAAACAAATAATGAGAATAACCTTCACTCTGCCAGCATCCTAGTTTGTGTGTAATTGTCTCTGGCTATCCGACGCAGCTGTTCCGACAGACTCGCGCCAGTGTCGTCGACCATTTTGCAAAAGATGCCGGTCTCGTTTTGGAGCAGGACGTGCGGATGGTCGAATTCTGCTACTTCTCCTTGCTCGATGACGAGCACTCTATCGGAATCCATGATGGTGTTCAAACGGTGGGCCACCGTCAACACCGTGCAATCCGCGAATTTGGTTCTTATGGTCTTCTGGATAAGGCCGTCAGTCCTAGAAGAAATTGAGCATGATTTTTTTATTGATCTACTGAAAAATGTGCCTTTGCTAGTATAAGTAGAAGGTACCCAGCGAGCACAAACATCCCTGGGATGTTTTGGGATGTTTTGAAAATGTTGGCATGAAGATGTTATTTTGAGACGTAATATGCACTGACCAAAGAGGTCTTTGGAGGATATTGCAGTATTGTTTTTGTTCTTCTGTGGCATTTCTTTGTTTGCCTACTGAGAGGTATCCCTGGGATGTTTTGGGATGTTTTAGAAATGTAGGCATGAGGATGTTTTTTTGAGGCGTAATATGCACTTCCCAAAGAGGTCTTAGAAGAATATTGAAAGTATTGTTTTTGTTCTTTTGTGCCCTTTCTTTGTTTGCCCCACCACAACGTCTCATGCTCACGTCACAATACGATGAATTCTGATTTGTTTCCGATTTTGTTCTTCTTGTTCGCAATTGCCATTCGCGTTTGCAGCGTGTCACGCTTACATCATGCTGCTAACGAACAGAAAGGAATTTGGTGAAGTTTATTGTGTTAGAAGACTCATTTAGTTTGTAATAATGACCATCAGATGCAAGATGTGTTGTTCGGTGCCTCAGTGTGATCAATATATAAAAGTACGAATTTATCAATACACAGCTTCTCCGCAGTTGCAAAATTATGCATTGTGGAGAACATTTCAAAAATTGGGAAGCCTATTTCCAATTATATGTCTGTGTGTAGTAAGCACTACTCAGAAACCGATTAAGAAGGTAATTTCATATCGAAAAAATATTTTTATGTTCAATCTATTTTTAATGCATTTTTTCATTCAAGGGAAATGGACCTAATGCAAAAGTTCATTTTGACGGAAGGCTTCAGAAAAGTACCTCGAAAATGTTTTTTTACAGCGATTTAATGTGCGCAAGACGCGTTGAAAATGTTCTGTTGTGTCCATGAAAAGGCTTTAAAAAGAACTAGGGAGAAGGTAGTTTTGTGACATATCGAGGACATCTCGATAATTGCCGCCTGCGGCGGACATTGGCTGTTCTATAATAGTTCTATTCATGTGTGAACAGAACATCGCAGTGGAGGTTCAATGTCTCGAAATCTCGTACTTTTAACATCTCTGAGATGTTTTTGTGCTCGCTGGGTAGTATAGAGTCCCTGTATGTAGTTGACAGTTTTGCTGTAATTGGTCGCGTGCACGATGACCGACCTTGGAGGTAAAACATTGAAACAAAACCTCACTTTTCTGCGAAACATTGAGACACAACCTCACTTTTTTACAGAGGAATCGAAGGATCGAAATAGTTTTTCACAATATTTTGGCATACGAATCGTGTTTTTTGAGCTATTCATTAATTCAAGCATGCCTTCGCATTGTGCTGTTGTACAATGCACAAAAAATGCAGCGAGAGACGAAGAAAAATGATTTTTCAGTTAATTAGTAATCTCACATAGTTTACATGATGAAATTTTGTCATTCCTTATTAAAATTTATTCTGCCACTGCTGCAATAGAAGTTAATACTGCTGAAAGATTGAAAATGTCTACAACACACATGATCATATTTCGTCAGCATGTCAGACCAGTCCTTCCGTTTGATTGCATGAATCCAATCTTCTCGCATTATTTCAGAAATTTCAGTATTTGTATTAGTTCCTATGGCAGAAGGAATTCCGATGAGAATTCAGAGAAATTACCAAATTTCAAAAATGAAAACTATATGTGAGTGACTATAGTGTTAAAATACGGGTTAATCGAGGACTTTTATTAATAATTATACATAAATAGTGAAATATTTAGCTTTTAACAAATTGATATAGACCGTTGGCCCATAACACTAGGGGTGTCGATTATCTACGAAGGTATGCCCTTCAAGAGGCATGAAGATTGAGTTGGATTATCGGAAAAAAAGTGGTTAGTTGGATCGGTACCCCGGTCGCCCATCTCCCTAATCAATCAACTTCCTGTTGAAAGTAATGTTGAAAATTGTATTATAGAAGAAGCTTTAAAATTCATTGGAATAGTCGCATCTCGCCAAATTAACCGGGCGCTAGCTGATTTGCATACGTCTAGGTCGGTCCCGAAGGGCGGCATACGGACCGCAAGTTACCATTAACCGACATTTCTCTCAGATTATTTACGATGGTATGCCCTTTGGTTAATTGCTTCATTTCGACCCATGAATCAATGCCATAACATTTGCATACAGTTTGGGTGGGCGAATTTAGACTTATTCGAAGGTCACTTTACATCATTGACCTGTATGTACAAGATTATCTACGAAGCTCCCAAATTTTGATCAAGGTTAGTCAAGCATAAACTATGCATGGAATAATGATTTGCATACGATTTGCGAGTTGCGGGGATTACATTTAGCCCAGTAAAATTAGCAAAAATGGCGGCAAAATTCGTTCAACACCCTGTAAGAGCTCAAGATATCGACAATCAAATTCTTTCTAACTTTAGAACTTACACAAAACTCGTCCCGATTTACCCGTTTCGAGTTATGCGAGGTCGAAGTTTCGAAAAATCAGTTTTTGGTTCAAAAACCACTAAGAAACTAATTATTATGTCTGTACGACGCGTTTGAACTGCCATTCCAAAAAAACTTTTTTTTCGCGGATATTTGCCTAATTTACTGTTGATCTCCTAATTCACAGTTGCAACTGTAAATTAGGAAGGAGAATCTTTTTTTTTTCAAAACATCTCCTAATTCACAGTTGCAACTGTAAATTAGGGGATGTGTAAAAAAAAAGTTTCCCCTTCCTAATTCACGAAAGGGAACGAACACTCATTTATAACAAACATATAACTACTATTTATGTCGAACCATTTATATCACGCGGTATATGGCTGTCTCTCTGAAAATCACTGACCACCTGCTGTCCTGTCGTCCTTATATATCAGATGATTTGGCTGGCTATATGCTTGTCGAATGTTCCCGAAAATCATCGGTACCCTTCTTTTGTTCTCGAAGCTTCTCATAGAAAAGTATCTCTCTCTCTCTCTAATAGTTCCATCGATTGTTTTGAGATGTTTCTGTCGCTGCGACACATACTGGGTGTTCGAAAATATGCTGATTCATGTTAGAATTATTGGGATACTCGGGAACAATCTGATACGCGTGATACAGGAAGATCGTTATACGCCTTCTTGATGATGTTCGAGCCCCTCTCAGGGGAATATTACAATATCGTTCATGAAAATAACAAAAAACATGGGATCCAAGATTGATCCTTTAGGAACTCCCATTGTAACTCCAAGAGGATCAGATTCATAGAATCCAACAAGACTATCTGCCGGTTCTGCAAATGAGATGCGCCCCCTGACATCCCCCCTAGAGTCATCCTCTATCATCCCCGGCCCCCGGCACTAGTAGTAGGTGCCAGATTCGAGTTTAGTGACCCCGAAACCTCCCTGAGAGCCCTTGGCACTCGATCATCCTGGAATTTCCAGTTTCAACTTTTTAATATTAGAAAAACTGAAAAAAATAGACTCCCTATAGCAAAATCGACGTATGCTCACAATACATTCGTATGTAAACGCTATTTTCTTATTCAGTATAACTGAATCTATCACCTGATTGAATGGCATACAAAATTATATAATCTTGATATATATAATCGATGTTGTAAAGTGACCTTCGAATATGTCTAAATTCGCCCACCCAAACTGTATGCACTTGCGGTCCGTATGCCGCCCTTCGGGACCGACCTAGACGTATGCAGATCGGCTAGCGCCCGGTTAATTTGGCGAGATGCGACTATTCCAATGAATTTTAAAGCTTCTTCTATAATACAATTTTCAACATTACTTTCAACAGGAAGTTGATTGATTAGGGAGATGGGCGACCGGGTACCGATCCAACTAACCACTTTTTTCCCGATAATCCAACTCAATCTTCATGTCTCTTGAAGGGCATACCTTCGTAGATAATCGACACCCCTAGTGTTATGGGCCAACGGTCTATAACATACGCGTCAGGCCAAAATCAAAGTAAATTCCTTCCTGTCTCTCATGACAATCCCATGATTAGACTAAATATACAAGGCGGTAAATATATAAATTGCTAACACCCCGTCAATCCTGACAATAATGAGTGTCCTCGCTCATAAAACACCCAATACAATACAATACGGAAAGAGACATCAAATATATCCCGAAATAAAAATTTCAACAACAATCAACAATTTTCAACATCACATAACAATTGGAATATTTTCTTCCATTAGTTCCACTTCATTAACACCATTTTCGGTATCGACGTCTTCGGAAGTAGATTCGTCTCCTTTGTCATAATCCTCGTCAGATTCTTCATCAGGTACATTCTTGTTAGACTTGAGTAAATGAGCTGCAAGAGAACCAGATCTTTTTGCCACTTCTCCCATGTGAATCTCCATAAGTTGAGCTCAAAAATAGCAAAAATGGTCCCCTTCAAGGTCATCCATCTCCGACGAGCCAGCTATCAGCAGGCTGCTGATAAGAATAGCGATTACACAAATACAATAACAAGATGGAATATAGATACAAGAAACCTCGCTGAATGAAAATATACAGGGTTTCTCATGATTAGCATATCCCATTTATGGTAGATCACAGCCAGCAACGTATGACAGACGGCACCTCCTGTTGTAGCCTATGCATGATTTTCCGTCTTAGGAGTTAATTCATAATTATTGGTATACTTTGTTTGAATGTTTGGTGCTACAATATGCGTCAGATTATCATTATTATTCATCTCTGGAAGCGCACGAAAGCAAATACCTATTATATTCGGAGAAAATCAGGCTTCAACAGGAGGTGCCATCTGTCATACGTTGGCTGTAATCTACTATAAATGTGATATGCTAATCATAAGACACCCTGTATATATTCAATCAGCGAGGTTTCTTGATCCACCCTGTATACAGTCTGTCCAAGATAAGGTTGCACAGCATGGGGACCTCGGAAACGGTAGGAGATACGAAGTCGGTTAAATGGGGAAAAAGTTGCGCATTCGGAGGCTCATACC